TGATAAAGGACTTGTACATAGAATAAAGTATCCTGAAAACTCATTAATATAAAAACAAACAATCCAATAAAACAGTAAGCAATCAATTTAAACAGATACTTCATCAAAAAAATATACATATGGTATACAATTACATGAAAAGATGTTAACATCATTAGTCATTAGGGAAATGCAAATTAAAATGAGAATTGGATAGCATTACGCACCTTTTAGCATGGCTACAGCTTAAAAGATTAACAAACTGTACAAAGGGTTAAAAAATGTGGAAGATCTGAAAGTCCCATACACTGCTGGTGTGACTGTAAAATGTTATAACCATTTGGGAAATAGAGTGGCTGTTTCTTAAAAAGCTAAACATATACCTACCATATAATCATTACCCAATGAAAGTATCTGTTAGTACAAAAATCATTGCAGCTTTTTAATAATGGCCAAAATTTCCCCCTGTAAAAAAATCTATCACAAAATTCTATTTGTTTAAAAATTAATCATAATGACAAAGATTACATTAAAATCACATGAGGTTACTTAACTTCTATACTTTGTTCCATGTTCAGAATAAGATCTATTGCTATTTTAGTCCCAGAGTAGAAAAAATTACACCAAACACAATTAAAAGAATATAGCAAAAAGACATTGCTTTTCTTAGATATATGGAGTTGCATTACAATATTTAAGAAATAGAAATTGTACATATTAATGCCAATTTTAGTTATTCAAGATGACTTTTATTATATGAAACTAATAATATAAACCAATTATTTAAAATGAAAAATACACAAATACTTACAATAACATGTTCCTCTAAGTGGATTACCAACATAGCGATTTTCAGAGTCACATCTGTAGAAACATAAAAACTGATTTAATATTAAACAATGTAATTCAAAAGCCTCATGTTTTTCTTCAGGCAAAAAATGTATTTATACTTTACATTAAAACATCTTAAAAACTATATAATCAAATTTCAAAAATGAGTCTTCAAAATAATTAATTGTAGAAAGCCTACTTCATACAATAATTAATTGTAGAAAGCCTATATATGAGTGGAATTCTATCTACAAATACTATCTACAAAATACTCTTTACAAATTAGTATTCCACTGTCCCCTTTTATAAAAAAAACATAGTTAAGAATGATGGTAAAATGTACTTTCCTCATTCCAAACTATATAATTTATTTTCTAATATTGCAAATACCAACTCTTGTAACTCTGTATTATTTAAGCTTATAAACTCATGATTTCAATAAATTAAAATACTGCTTTCTCTTGTCTATAAACAAAAACATGTTACTGAAATACTGCACTACATAAGATATAATTATTAAAGATGGTTATATCCTTTATGCAAATCTATAATAAAAATTGTCAATGTTTATGATCATAATAGAATTGCATATTTTATTTTTGCCTGTAATACTGGCACTAAGGTCCATAGAAAATATATTTATTGATGCATACTTTTATCCAACCAACATAGAAGTTAATCAAGCGAAACAACGTTGCTTATGACCAGGAACTGCTATATAATTTGAGGGAGTGGGAAAGGATACTACGAAATGAAGACATAAATTTCTTTTTAAAAATTATTAAGAAATTATAAGATGGCCACAGCAAAGCATTAAACCAAGTGTGATGCCCATCTAAGTATGGGAACCTGTGCAAATTCACGGGCTACACACCCATGAAGTTGGCCCTACTTATGACAACCAAGCTTTAAGTGTTGCAGATATTGGAGGCATCCTTCTATCTTAGAGCATAAAACTCTGATTTAAGTACATTGGTTTTAAGACCAAAATGGCTTTTCTTAATAGGAATTTTCCTAAAAGCTTATGCTTTGAACTCATTTTTAACTTCAGAGAATATGGAGAAGGAATGAAAACTGGTTGTGCTCATCTACTCTGAACTTGAAAACCTGTACTACTTAGGTGACTAAAGACATGATAATATAACCAGAAATGTTTAGAATAATTCTACGGCAAATAATATATTTGTTT